TCAGCTCACAGTTCTCTTTTGTGTCTAGTTTTGTGTTCAAGTCTCCCATTAACATCGTATAGCGGGTTTCGGAGGGTGCATACCTCCGAAACAAGCTAGTACACCCGAGTAAATATACGGCTATATCCTATGTCACTTTTTGGCAACATATGAAAACAGACGTCTTTTCGTCTACTAGCACAGGTTGGAATACAACACTTGTTATACATGTTGCAAGACAAGGTAGTATTACAGATTCAGGAATTGAGAGGGAGGATTAGTTACGGAAATAAATCAACGCATAATTTATAATTTAAAATTTTGTACAGCCGACTTCAATATAAGTTATTTAGAATAACTCAAAAACTATTGGTCTGACCCAAAGACGTATTAAAAGAGATAGACAGGTTAAACACTAAGATTATTGTATTTTAAAGTGGCGCAGGTAGTACTATATCTACGTATAGTTATTTATTATGACACGTTGCGCTAACAAAAAGAGACAAATGATACGGCATACCTATCATTAGAAAAAGATGAATATACATCATTAGTTGCGTATTGATTGCTGCTGAGCGTTCATTGGCGCGAGCGCGTGACATACCGATATGGAAATGAACACACTAGCTAGCGTCAAAGTTTACACTAGCGGTTAGTGTTGAAATAATAAAACCAATTATGAACAAAACATCGATATTCAAAATATTAATGAGACGTTTTTCTTGTCTCTAACAGTGGCCGTTTAATTTGTGCACCACCTAAAAACACAGGAAGGCATTTTTACCATGAATAACTAGAAGATTTACGCGCTGTGGCGAATGTATAGCCGCGACGTGAGAGTGTACCCGAATGAATGCGAGTCGGGCAATTACCTGACTATCGTATTGCCATTTTAGAGCGAGTATGACGTATCTATACTTTAAAAACATCTTAGGTCTGACCTTGATCAAATTCATATGGGACCACACGAAAAGTATCAGCTTTCATATAAAAAAAATAATCATCAAAATCGGTTCACCCAATAAAAAGTTATGAGGTAATACACATAAAAAAAGCACAGTCGAATTGAGTACTGTCTCCTTTTTGGAAGTCTGCAGAAAACTGCACTCGATCAACTTTGAAACTGTAATAAAATATTATATTTCCATTATGGAGTGTAGAGTAGAAGGAGGACAATCTCTGTATATGAAAAGTGTCCCTAAAACGCGTCCAATAAGGGTGGCGCTGCAGTAGCATAGGATAAATTAAAAAAAAGCGCCAATATTTATTAGAATAAGATGGAGAAATAAACAAGGACCGACCAATCCGCTTGGTTTTGTACTACGTAAATAGTTGAGGTTTTGTATACTGGTATTTTACTAACTACTCTAGTCATGAAATTTTTTAAATATTTTAATTCAGCTGACTTCACTCCGTCTACAACAGCTATATTCATATCGTAGTTTTACAGACGCCAGCGCTATTGTGGTAGGTTTTGAAACCTCTATTTTCAGTATATATTGGGACACTTTTTCAAGTTTCGCACCTTATAAGATGGTTCTCCTTCTACTCTATACTCCATAATTTCCATGTAAAATAAGGACACTGTGACAGTGACAGATATTCGGCAGAAGGGTGAAGTTTCCGTATATTTCTTATATCTATGATATACACTCTCTTCTTCTTCTTCTTAATAACTGGCTTTACGGCTCTGGGATCTAGCCCTTCTGAGCCTGAAGTTACTATATTATATTATAATAATTATTCTTCATAATATACTGCTTCACAATATGTTGATGCGTCACACTGTGCAGCCCTTGGGAGATTTTGGCGGTAACTTGAGCCAGCAGACAGCTGACGGTTGGCGATGGTAACTCAAGGCGCCTAAGCAGATAGACACCTTATTTTGAGAATCACATCACTATCAGAGCACTTGTTTCACGATTTCCACTAATAGTTCACATGCGCAGACACTTAATACACAAAATCGCACCACTTTTACATATCAAAGTCCACTTCAAACCATTATTTAAACAATAAAACAGGAGCAGTAAACCGCCGCCGGTCAAGTTCCCGCCTAAACTCCGTATATACACTCTTAACTATGGGGTGAAGGAAGGGAAGGGGGTTAAAGGAGCTGTCACTTACGACATGTGAACCATAAGCTCGGCGCCCACCTAAGTAACGTAACGCGTGATCTGACGCGTGATTTGACGCGTAACTTGTCACTCGCCTCAACATTCAAAGAGATTGTATGGAGTAGCGCCCATTAACCGCGGCGCCCACCTAAGCTACGTGATTTCGACATGGCTCGTAGCATGATTCTGACGATACTCTGACGTGACCACGGGGGACACTGCTTGCGCCAACCTGTGCAACAATAGCATATCGCAGAATTCAGTTTGAGTCAAAATGTCGTCTGAAGAAGATAAACATACCCTTGCTATGCTACAGATTTCAAACATTCCAAGTGCCAGCAAAAGATTTCGGGTACATGCTTTGACGAAAAAAAATTGAAAAGTGGTGGTACTTTCAATGCTATGAAGGAATTAGAATTATATTTTGCATAGGCAAGTCACTAAGTTGCAAGAAGTATCTTGCGAATTCCTGTTAATGTAATCGGGTCTAGAACAATCATACTGTATACATGGCCTTTCATGAAAAGAAAAAAAGCTAGGTCGTCTTTCATTTTGTATAGACAAGTCACTGCAAGTTACGTGTTACGCGCCTCTTCAATGCGTCACTAGTAGCAAGCTGAATGGAACGTCAGGTCATGCAGCATCATGCCACGCTAAAGTGCGGCGCCCACCTAAGTAAGTCACTCGCCTCGACATTCAAAGAGATTGTATGTAGTAGCGCCCACTGAAATGACAGGTTCAGTAATAACGTTTCAAATGTATCATTTGCATCTGGAACAGTGAAACATTACTTTGCTCTTTGCTCGTTTCGCGCGACGCGTCGCTTGCAAGGCGACTAAGCCACGAGCGAGAGAGAGAGACTGAGACAATGATTAACTTAACTATTGACTCACGAGTGGCGAGTGAGCGGGCGAAATAATTATAATTCACACAAGTCAGATAGAGATAACAAATAAGAAGTGTATCACTCAACTCGTACGGATTTTCGCTGACGTTATTCATGCAAGTAAAAATTACCACTAAGGCGCTTATGTGTCAAATACTATACGGTCGTTTTTTGTATGTAACGTTTGCATTAACAAGTTGTCATTTTACGTTGATGCGGCACTTGTCAAATTGTTTATATTCATTAGCGCCTGTTTACGAAAACATACTGAGTTATGTTTAGGATTTCTTTGCGTAGTGATTATTGTGACTTTACTTTCTTCCTTTTCATCATAAAGTTTAGAGTTATGATACTTTACGAGTAAATTCTGTGTACATAGACATTGCTGTTTTATGTAAATGGACATTTTTGTAAATAATGAATTGACATACTGACATTTTTGTTAAAGTATGGAGGAGAATCGATTTTATATACAATCTTATTATGGTACACAATAAATAATCTAAGCACTTATATTGTTCAGCATTGTTGCCACATAACATTTCACGGATCAGTCAGTAATAAACGGCCACGACGCAACTTAATGTATTCGGAACATTCTTTCTTTTATATCTTTTGAGTCGATGATACAAATGAGCCAAATGAAACATATCAGTGTTTCGGAACATTTCAGTGATCAAGATGCAAATGTTCCAATCCCAAAAATGATACACTTTGCCCACCTCCAATCTTAAGTCAATCCTCTATCTACGACTCATATCTTAATTCATAGATTATAAATCAGCGGAGCCAACATGTGGGAAATTCCCCAAATTGTGGGGAATTTAAATCTGGTTGAGGATTGGTATTATGCGGGGAAAATGCAGAGATTTTGAAAATCGATAGCCCGGGGCAAGTCAGAACCTTTTTCCGAGAAATCTAAATACTTTTCTTAACATTTTTGTTAGGTTACTTATGAATATCGAATGACTCCCTGTTTTTTATTATCTTTACCTCACCACATTTAATTTTCGGATTTATTTCGGCAACATTTGTGTATAATTTAATGCTTTAATTTTTTTTATTTTTTTGTTTTAAAGCAGAGAACCGCATGCATATAAATGCAGATACTGTGGTACTTTTTAATGGCAACAATGGAAGGAATTAAAAATACTCCATGGAGGGAAATACTTGTTACAAAAATATGGAAAAAGCTGAAAAAAAATAGGGAAAAAAGAAAAAAAATTAGTTAAAAAATAAATTTTATGAAATTCCTTAAATTTGTGAATTTATCATGGATTTTCGGGGAATTTAACAAATTGGTGTTGACAACACTGTTAATAATAAATAAAAAATATGTAGGAGTTTTGGCGGGAAATTGACCGGCGGCGGTTTGCTGCTCCTGTATTATAGTTTAAATAATAGTTTGAAGTGGATTTTGATATGTAAAAGTGGTGCGATTTTATGTATCTGTCTACGCATGTGAACTATTAGTGGAAACGGTGAAACAAGTGCTCTGATGGTGATGGATGGATAGGCGCCTTTAGATACCATCGCCAACTGTCAGCTGTCTGCTGGCTCAAGTTGCCGTCAAAATCTCCCAAGGGCTGCACAATGTGACGCATCAACATATTGTGAAGCAGTGAACTATGAAAGATAATTATACATTTGGGAAATTATAATAAACCGAATAAAAATACTCAAGACTTGGCCTAAAGGTCTAGATACCAGGGCATAAACTCCAAAAAAATAAATATGTAGCTGTAGCATCCATCGTTTGCAAATGGCCGTCGGTGGAAATAAAGCATGTAGTGTTTAAATACGAACTATTTTAACAATTGCGATATTTGTTTATTACTGTATTAAAGAAAATAGCAAGTACAATTCTGTGGTGTGTGACAAAAGTAAGTTTCATACTTTCTTTTTTGGTTGCCGGAAGAATATCGCCATGTCGGTTTCATTAGACTTGATAAAATATTGTGATTACCGTATTCCGTACTTATTAGTGTTTCATTACGTGTTGTAGAAGGCGAGCAGCCATGTCGCTGCCGCCCTATTTATTGGGGCCCAATCCCTGGGCCACCATGATGGCTCAGCAGCAGTTGGCGGCAGCGCAGCAAGCCGCATTACAAGCGCACGCTGCTGCAGCTGCCGTTGCGCCACCGATGCCTCCTTCACAGCCACCTAAACCCCACCATATACCTGAAGAAAAGATAAAAGAAAAAGGTAAACAATTTACAAATATTGGATTGCAAATTTACTCTGCCCGGCTACGTACACTGGTTCCAATGACGGTACCAACGTTGGAAGATTAACTTGCACGGCAACTACTCTTTGACCGTTATACTGGTTTAGTCCAACCAGAGCCTATGTGAGAATATATAAATTGCCCTAGGTGCACATTGTTTCTTTTTGTTAAATAAACTTTACCTCCACACTAGGATATTCTGTATTATGTGCGGCAGTTTACATACATAAATTTCAGAAGGACAAACATCCAGACCTAAAACAATTATTTATAGGCCATACCATTACTTGTTCCGTGCGAAATTAAACATGCACCCCCTTAGTGCTGCAACTCATTGCTAAGCCACAAAGTCGTTGTTACATATTAAACATTACCTGTAAAAACTAGTTTCTGAGAATTAAGTAGTGCAATATATCTGTTATGAGCCACCAACCCTATACAATACTTTTTCATCCAGTACATTCTTATGGTTGGATTACTAATACTTGCCATTACCTAGCAAATGCTTATGAAAATATAGTGGGTAAATCCACGGTAACTTGTGTTACATTTGGAACTGTTCATCGGCAAACAAACCTTTTTTATGTCATTGTTAAAAGTTATCTAATTTACTTTGTCTGTACATTAGAGACTACATTGTGACCTCATTCTATTTAATTGAATATTACTGGAAACCACAGCATAGCTTCGAACCAGCACTCTACGACATTCTGGTAACTTGCGTTATATAAAAAGGACATTACGTTTTGAGACTTGAGTTTAATCGAATATTTCTCTGAGTTTTTTAACTTAAAATTAAAATAAAAAAATTAAAGTCGATTAAGTCAGGAGTCAAAATATTTTAATCAACAAATAGTAATTTTGTTTTATTACAGATAATAATAAAAAATAGAAAACAACGGTAACTTGCGTTACACGAAAATAGTAACTTGCGTTACTTCCAACTTGAACGTTATGAATGCTTGTTTTTCCATTCGGATAAGGGAAGGTTATCATCGTCATTCCATGAATCGTTAGCCCCAACATTTTCTTCGATTTTCTCATAAAAATCTTTTGATATTAGACTTTTTGGAGCATATTATTTTTCCAGAACATGATGTGACACTTAGCTATTCCAGGAACGCCAGGAGCCTTTGCAAAACTTTCTTACAATTGTAGAAGTCGTGCTCATTCTTCCATTTCCTCTGTTGAAACCACAATCACTTTCACAGTTGAATCTTTTACTGCTATTGCAAACTGCTCGGCATTTAACACAATTGCTTTTCTTTTTAAGACTTTGCTCCTTACCGTCCTTTTCAATGCTCCTCCAATTCCATCAAACGGGCCTTTACCATGCGATGTAGCAAAGTAGTTCCACATCAGGTGCAGGCTATGCTTTTCTTCGAGATTTTTAATACATTCGGCGACGTATTTGTTTTTAAATTGAGAAGCTGGGCCATCCGACCACAAATGCACTTTTTTGACCTTTGATGTTGTTCACCTGACATTCACAGCGAGACTGTAAATAAAGTTACTTGAGGTTGCACCCAGTGAAAACTTTGCACTTCGTCCTGGGCCAGGCATGTGTAATTTTCAGAATAGTCCACCTGAATCAGGACCGTGTCCGAATCAGTTCTGTTGTAGAATTCAATCTTGTGTTTTTGGTAGGAGGAGGCTTGATTCCGTTTGATGTAAGTATGCTCAAAGAACTTAGGAGCCATGTCGACTATCTTCTGGATCAGTTCAGTTGCTATGCCTTTTACCTGAATTTTACTTAGTTTGCCATTGCAATCTGTCCACACAAACCAGTTAGTCTCGACGTCAGCGCCCACATTTTCGCAACTGTCCAAATATTCGTCCAGTTTGTTTTCTAACAAGTCCTTGCAGAGGTTACAGTCTTTCAACCAACATGCTGTTGTTGGAGCTGTGCAAACAAAGCCACTGAGAAAATGAAGACGGATAGAAGTTTCATTTACAATTGTGTTTGTTTGTTCGTTCTGTTTTTTTTTTTGAAGTCGATGCTTTCTTACTCTTTCCTTGGTTTTTCTTCGATTTTCTATAATAACTTTTGCTTTTTTCGATAAAGGTAAGCGTTCAATTTCTTCTTTTTTCTTCTGTCTAGTTTTACGACAAGCTTGTTTTATTTTTTCTTTATATTCATCATATTTACCGGCCTCCTTCAACTTCTCTCTTCTTCTTCTCATCTTTTCTGCAGCACTGAGTGGCATAGCAACTGCAATTAAAATGATATTGTAAAGGTAACTGTCATTAAACTCACGTAATGCAAGTTACCGGTAACTTGCGTTACAAGCTTGTTAAGCGAATAAAAATAAAACTCTATCCTGTAAAAGCCAACAAATTAGATAATTGTATGCGCCTTAACTATATTTAAGAGAAACATAACAGTTATTTCCCTAAATGTTAATGTAACACGATAAATTTATAATATTATGATATAATGGTAACTTGCGTTTCAAATAACAAACAGATTTTTAAATGGGTATATCTTTGCATAAGTTTGATCAAATAAGAATAATTTTTTAGTTTTACACACATTATCCAACGTATTATAAAAAATTTTGGTGTACTTACCAATTGTTACACTTAAACTTTAGTTAATTTATGATATTTTAATAGATTTTTCACCTTACTTTCACAAAACTGCTTGGAGTAATGAATGACGCTTCATTTGTCAAGGACACACATAACAAATATGGGAACAAACTTCATAATTGTTTACTACTACCCTCTGACAACAGTTTAACTATGAAAAAAATGTAAAATACCCACAAAAAAAATTTCGCCTTTTTTACTCTCTGCCGTGGATTTACCCTAGTACTCCTCAACAGTCAAATTCTGACTTTAAACTGTTTTAAAATAGTGGTGAGATGGGTTTGTTCAAAAATTTGGAACATTTTATCATGAATATGTTGACAAAAATATGTCAAGCTTCAGAGTTTCTAGGAAGGTATGTGAGGGCTCAAATATATTTAGCTGAACATAGGCCTCTCCCCCCGAATGAATGCCACAAATTAATTATTAATTTATCAGTACAATATGTGCACCACCTATTGTAAGTTAAGTGTACTATGCCTCTAACCTTCATGCAAGTGCCAGCAATAAGTAGACAAAATATTACAGCAATCTGATAAACAGTATGGCAGCGCATAAAATACAAACAAACAATCATTAATTTTTACGTATTAGATTTAGAAAATATTTCCACAAAAATTTACTGTGTTTTAGTGTCTAGTTACTCAAACTCAATATTCCCCAATGCCAACAAATTTGATTAAGTTTGAGACTAAAGATAATATCTTATTCTTCATCGTTCCTAAAAATCCACTGCTCGACATGGGCCTCTATCACTATAGGGATGACTTACCTTAATCATCACAATTGCAGTACAGTATATGATCTTCTGGGTGTGGCAACAGGCAGTGAAGGAAAATTAAATAGGGGATGGGGGGCAGCATTGTCCTGAAAACAACCTAACATAATAAACTGCTGTTGCCAGAGTCCACTTGTCAGGTGTAATAACTATGACAAAGATTTAATAAAAAAAATAAAGATAATTTTTATTCATGTTTTATTTTATTTTGTTTGTACTAGTTTTTTTATTCTGCGTAGATCGGACCAAAATTAATAATTAAAAAATCTGAAGGTACTCTGGGTTAACTCTGACATCGGGACGTCAATCAACTCAGTCCCCCATGACCATGGGTACTGTAAAGCACCCGAAACGTCGGAAATCAATAAAAAAGAAGTTAATTAAAGGCGAAAAAAATCTGTAAAAGTAGTTTAATTCAATGACTAATATCCCTTTCAAGGTCCATGGTTTCTTTAATTTAAGAAATATATGGAAACCATTTCTTAAAGGGTAAAGTATTTCTGTTGCAATGGATATAATTTTCCATTCAAGTGTTAATGGGAAATGCTGTTATTGCAAACATTTATGTTTAAATTAACAATTAAAGCTTCTTTTTTATGTTTAATTATTATGCTACCTTTACTTTAAACAAACCAGGCACTTGGAACAAAATAATAGATTAAATGACTATTTAGTGGTGTCTGACTCGCAACATGGTTTTCAGCCAAAACCAAAAGCGAATGTTCAGCCTCAGTTTTGGCCAAAATCGAAACTTATTTAGATATCAAAATATTTATAGTATAGGTATGTAATGAAATTAAGTGTGTTTTTTACTATGTGTAAACTTTGTTAATAATCAACACTCACCACTAAGATATAAAGTAAAGACTCCTTATTTAATTGAGTATTTTAATTGTCATGCAAATAACAATATTCTTAAGATTAATTTATTATTTTAATTAAAATCTTGTAGAAAGCACTTGGTGATTACCTAAGCTTAAAAAAATGTACTGTCTGGCCTTATTCAGGCTAGCTCCCAGAATCCAACTTGGGTTGTGGCTAAAACCTGAAAACTTTGGTTCTGCTCCTGGCTGTGCCCCACAGGCTGTATTAGCGATAGCCTGTGCCACGCTTGTTAATTAATTTGTTCACATGCAAAAAAGCCATCCCCACTATGTTTTTCCCCTGTATTTTCGAGGAGTTTTACATGTATATTAATTGCAGAAGGCAAGCAGAACTCAGAACATCCACAGCCTGCTGTGTTGCTTTTACTCCTTGTGAAATATTCACCTTCCTTTACGATTTTGAATAATTTTTTTTTTCAATTTAGCTCAAAAATGGCTTCAGCTACAATCAAAACGATTTGCCGAAAAGCGGAAATTCGGATTTGTCGATGCACAAAAAGAAGATATGCCCCCAGAGCACATCAGGAAGATTATTAGGGACCATGGTGACATGACCAGTAGAAAATATCGTCATGATAAAAGAGTTTACCTTGGAGCCTTAAAGTACATGCCACATGCAGTCATGAAGCTTCTGGAGAACATGCCAATGCCCTGGGAACAGATTAGAGATGTAAAAGTTTTATACCACATCACTGGTGCTATCACATTTGTTAATGAGATTCCTTGGGTAATAGAGCCTGTGTACATAGCTCAATGGGGCACTATGTGGATTATGATGAGAAGAGAAAAGCGTGATCGTAGGCACTTCAAGAGAATGAGATTTCCTCCTTTTGATGATGAGGAACCTCCACTTGACTATGCTGATAATATATTAGACGTTGAACCTTTAGAGCCTATTCAAATTGAATTAGATCCAGAAGAAGATGCAGCTGTGGCCTCATGGTTTTATGACCACAAGCCTCTTGTTGGAACAAAGCATGTAAACGGTTCTACATACAGGAAATGGAATTTGACTCTTCCACAAATGGCAACACTTTATCGTCTTGCTAATCAGCTGTTAACGGACTTGGTGGATGACAATTATTTCTATCTGTTTGATTCAAAAAGTTTTTTCACTGCTAAAGCATTGAATATGGCTATTCCCGGTGGACCAAAATTCGAGCCCCTAGTCAAAGATAACTCTGCTGGTGACGAAGATTGGAATGAATTTAATGACATTAACAAAATTATTATTCGCCAACCTATCAGAACTGAATATAGAATTGCATTCCCATACCTGTATAACAATTTGCCACATTTTGTTCAGCTTTCTTGGTATGTATATAGTTAAGTTTTTATAAATTCATAACTATTAATAATAATATAATTTTATTCTTATACATATCTTAGAAGGTTATTTTTATATGAAATTAATATCTTTTTTATTATTTAAAGAAGAATGGTCACGCCCCATAGAAAAAAAACCCAGACCCGACAGAAACGAGACATATATCAGTTTTTTTGTTATTATTTATATAGTTAAATTATATATTTTTTATATTCGAAATCAATGGCTAACACCAAAATATTGCCTTATGTTTTTGTCTTTTTGTTCATGCGATACACAAAAAAAATACAAAATGCCTATTTATCTACAAAATTTGTAAATGTGTGTAATATAATATAAGTAAAATGACAAGACAATGGCTATGGGATGGATGGAATGACCTGGAGATGCAGCTGGATTATGTAATTTTTAAACTTCTAGTATTTTTTTTTTATAGGAGAGGGGGCAAACGAGCATGCGGCTCACCTGATGGTAAGTGACTACCGCCGCCCATGAACAACCGCAACACCAGGGGAATTGCAGATGCGTTGCCGGCCTTTTAAAAAGGAGTAGGCTCTTTTCTTGAAGGTCCCTAAGTCGTATCGGTCCGGAAAAATCGCTGGTGGTAAACTATTCCACAAGGAAGTTGTGCGAGGAAGAAAACATCTTCTAAATCGCACAGTGGTGGACCGCCAATCATCCAGATGGTGTGGATGGTATCGGGAGTTCTGCCGCGATGTGCGTTCGTGAAATTTGGCGGCTGGGATTAATCCGAACAATTCCTCAGAGCACTCCCCATGGTAAATGCGAAAGAAAATGCTAAGAGATGCAACATCTCTTCGCAGTGCCAATGAGTCGAGCCGATCGGAAAGAACTCGGTCGTCGACGATTCGAGCCGCTCTGCGCTGGATGCGGTCAAGTGGAAGAAGCTGGCACTGGGGAGCCCCAGCCCAGAGATGGGAACAGTATTCCATGTGAGGCCGAACCTGCGCCTTGTAAAGTTGCAGGCGTTGAGCCGGCATGAAATACTGTCCCGCTCTACTGAACACGCCAAGCTTTTTAGAGGCCAATTTGGCCTTCTCTTCCAAGTGACCACGAAACTGCACGCTACTCGATATGTCGACGCCGAGGATTCCGATACTGGCTGAGGCAACAAGGGGAGTACCTTGAAACTTAAAACATAATGCATACCCAGTGCGGGGTGGTCAAAGTGATCTCGATGTCTAGCCCACCCTAAGTAATAGACAACACTAATGAGGTGTGAGCAACTTCCCAATGTCCTTTTACCATGGTAGCACAAGCAGTAATATTCTGTTATTGCGTATCAAAATGTCATTTCCCCCACCACCATTACAGCCCTTCACAAGTCCACTGCTGAACATAGGCCTCCCCCAAAGAATGCCACAAAGCACGGTCCTGAGCCACCTGCATCCATCGACTTCCTGCATATCTTACCAGGTCGTCACTCCATCTAGTGGGGGGACGCCCTACACTTCGCCTGCCGGTACGAGGCTGCCACTCGAGAACCTTTCTTCCCCATCGGTTGTCGGTTCTTCGAGCTATATGGCCCGCCCATTGCCACTTCAGCTTACTAATCCGTTGGGCTATGTCGGTCACTCTAGTTCTACTGCGGATATCCTCATTTCTGAGTTTATCACGCAGAGAAACTCCGAGCATAGCCCTCTCCATAGCTCGCTGAGCGACCTTGAGCTTCCTCATCCGGCCAGCAGTGAAGGACCACGTCTCAGTTCCGTATGTCATCACTGGCAACACGCACTGGGTGTACAGTCTCGTTTTCAAGTTTTGAGGTATACCTGACGAGAAGATGTGCCGTAATTTCCCGAACGCTGCCCAACCGAGTTGAATCCGTCGATTGACCTCTCGGTCGAAGTTGGACTTACCTAGTCGGACTATTTGTCCCAGGTAAACATACTCGTCAACAACTTCGAGCTTAGTGTTCCCAACAACTACCGGCATATGTGTGACATGGACATTAAACATGATCTTTGTTTTGTCCATGTTCATCTTAAGACCTATCCGTTGGGAAACACTATTGAGGTCATTGAGCATAGTGCTTAGGTCCTCCAGCGATTCTGCCATAAGGACTATATCGTCGGCAAATCGAAGGTGAGTGATGTACTCGCCATTGATGTTGATACCGTATCCTTTCCAGTCCAGAAGCTTGAAAACATCTTCCAATGCAGCGGTAAAGAGTTTCGGGGATATGACGTCACCCTGTCTTACACCTCTCTGCAATTGGATAGGTTTCGTACTCTGGTTCTGTACTCGGATAGCCATCGTAGCCCTACTGTACAAGCACTTCAACACTTCGATATACCGACAGTCAACTTGGCATCGCTGAAGGGACTGCAGCACCGCCCAAATTTCGACGGAATCAAAGGCTTTCTCATAGTCCACATACGCCAGACATAGTGGCAAATTGTACTCCTCGGACTTCTGTACAATTTGCCGAAGGGTATGTATGTGGTCTATGGTGCTAAAGCCTTTTCGGAAACCGGCTTGTTCGGGAGGCTGGAAGTCGTCAAGTCTGCGCGCGAGACGATTCGTAATGACTCTCGAAAACAGCACGTAGACGCGGCTCAGAAGGGAAATCGGTCTGTAGTTCTTCAAGAGAGCGTTGTCGCCTTTCTTGAAGAACAAGACCACCGCACTTCTGCTCCACGCCTCCGGTGTAATGCCACCATGGAGGACGGAATTAAAGAGCTTCTGAAGGACTTCAAGTACCGGTTTTCCACCCGCTTTCAGAAGCTCCGCTGTAATTCCATCCTCGCCTGGGGCCTTGCCGTTTTTAAGGTGCTGGAGAGCCATTCTAATCTCGCTCAGACTGACGTCCGGGATATCATCGGAATAATGTCGGATAAGACTCGCTCTTGGATCGTTACTCACACTTGCGTGCGGCTCCAACGATGACGTGTACAGCTGCCCATAGAACCTCTCAATCTCACTCAAAATCTCAGGTGCCCCGGAAACGATGCTGCCACATTCTGTCTTCAGCTTTGACAGTTGGCGCTTTCTGGCAGACAGATCTCTTGCAAAGACTTTGGAGCCTCGGTTCCGCTCGATCGCTTCTTCAATACGAGCTGTATTGAATTTGCGTAAGTCCCGCCGCATGCATTTGGAGATCTGTCTGTTCAGCCGGGCTATTCACAATCGTCTCGGAAAGCGAATTCGACTCGGATTCGATAACTTCTCGCACCGAAACCAATAAACGCTATTCACATTTATCGTTCGGATAAAGGTCACTTAGATACATCCCATAACTATTGTATCGTCATTTAGTTACATGCATTTACGAATTTTGTAGATAAATAGGCTTTTGTATTTTTTTAGAGTAACGCCTAAACAAAAACATAATGCAATATTTTGGTGTTAGCCATTGATATCGAATATAAAAAATATATAATTTAACTATATAATAAATAACAAAAAAACTGAGATATGTCTCGTTTCACAAAGCAGATTATATATATATTTGTGATAAAAAACTTATAAAAACACACCTTTCACAAAAATTCAGCTTTACGATTAAGTGAAAATATTGAAGTAATTATTTGAAAATACGTCTTATAGATAATTGTAATTAATTTTGTTACCTACCTTATAATTAAAAGGGTTTATTTATCTCTTCTAATCATCAATATTCGAAAAGTTTTCGCCAGCCTCAGAGCTCTCGTAAAGTTTCCGATGCAAACTGTCGCAATTATCGAAAACAAACGTCAAAGAACGCCCCATAGAAAAAAACCCAGACCCGACAGAAACGAGACATATCTCAGTTTTTTGTTATTTATTATATAGTTAAATTATATATTTTTTATATTCGATATCAATGGCTAACTCCAAAATATTGCATTATGTTTTTGTGCAGGCGTTACTCTAAAAAATTACAAAAGCCTATTTAACTACAAAATTCGTAAATGCATGTAACTAAATGACGATACAATAGTTATAGGATGTATCTAAGTGACCTTTATCTGAACGTTAAATGTTAATAGTGTTTATTGGTTTCGGTGCGAGAAGTTATCGAATCCGAGTCGATTTCGCTTTCCGAGACGATTGTGAATAGCCCTGCAGTTGCCTGTATGCTGTTAAATCTGTTGAAGAATGTAGCTTCATCTCCCGTGTAACAGCCATGAGATTAAGAGTGTGATCGGAGAGTTTTTGTGTTCTTCTGCGGCGGGTCTTGCAGAACTTAGCTCCGACCGCATGGACAGTTTCCACGAGCTTGTCATTCAAATCGTCCACTTCATTGCAATCTTCTAGGCACTGAAAACGGTTTTGTAACTCGAGCTGAAAGGTTTCGGGACTTTGGATTAGAGCACGAGGGGGACGGACCGACTTCATTAGACGAGACCTCTCCAACTTAACGTTTAGGTTCAGTGTGCCTCTAACCATTCGGTGATCGCTGCCGGTTTTCACCCTCGCGATCACTGAGACATCACTGAACAGTTGTCGTCTGGTCGTCATAATGAAGTCAATCTCATTTTTTGTCGAACCGTCGGGGCTCGACCAGGTCCACTTCCTGTGGGGCCGCTTCTGGAAGAAAGAGTTCATCATAAAGAGTCCCTCTTTCTCCATGAAGTCGGCCAGCTGCTGGCCCCTTGGGTTCCGTTGCCCTATTCCAAATTTCCCTACTTTCAGCTCACCGTTCTCTCTTGTGCCTAGTTTTGCATTGAAGTCTCCCATTAACACCGTATATTGGGTTTTGGAGGAATGCATGGCTCTAGAGATATCCTCATACATTTCCTCCACCTCCTGATCGGGGTGTGCCGAGGTTGGTGCGTAAACCTGTATGACCTTCAGCGAATACCGTTTGGTGATTCTGAGTATAAGGTACGCAACCCTCGTCGACACACTCTCAATCTTTACAACGTTGTTAACGAGAGACTTGTGGACGATAAATCCGACACCTCCTTGGGACAGATGGTCGCCCTCCCGGTAATAGAGCAAGTTGCCGGATTCGAGGATTACCGTGTCCTCCCCCTCTCTTCGGACTTCGGATAATCCTATAATATGCCAGCGTAACTTGTCTATCTCTTCTTCCAGCTCCACAATCTTCTCGTCAGTCCTCAGGATGCGTGCGTTGTATGTTGCCAGGTCGAGTCGTCGTAGGTGGCAACCGAACCTAAACCGGAGATTCTTAGCACCCCCTGCCCCGCCGTTACCATGGTCATTTAGTTACATACAATTACGAATTTTGTAAATAAATAGGCATTTTGTATTTTTATTGTGTATTGCCTGAACAAACACATAAGGCAATATTTTGGTGTTGGCCATTGATTTCGAATATAAAAAAAATATATAATTTAACTGTATAAAAAATAACAAAAAACTAAGATATGTCTCATTTCTGTCGGGTCTGGGTCACAGATGACCGTTCTTCTTTATAAAAAATATATTGTTTTTAGGTATCATACGCCAAATGTAGTATACATTAAAACTGAAGACCCTGATCTACCAGCATTCTATTTTGACCCTCTTATTAACCCGATCTCCCACCGCCACTCCGTGAAATCTTTGGACCCAGTGCCTGAAGAAGATGAATTTGTTCTACCTGAGGAAGTTTCACCATTCCTTCAAGAGACTGCTTTATATACTGACAATACTGCAAATGGAATTGCCTTACTATGGGCTCCAAGACCCTTCAATATGAGATCAGGTAAGAATTTTATAATTTTTCTAGTTTCCTAAAAATAATATCAATTTATTGATTGAAATATTATTGGTGAAATAATTGAATGTTTTAGTAGCTTGATTCAAATGTTTTAGCTAGCACTTTATTTAAGGAAAGGGCAAAGTTAGCATTATCTCAAAGACAAATCCTTTAAAATTCAAAATTTTTTGTATAATATCAGCTTATCTTGTATATTATGAATAAATCCTTTACCAGGCCGCACTCGTCGTGCAATTGATGTGCCGCTAGTAAAGACTTGGTACAAGGAGCACTGTCCACCTGGACAGCCTGTAAAAGTTAGAGTATCGTACCAAAAACTGTTGAAATATTATGTACTTAATGCATTGAAGCATAGACCACCTAAACCACAAAAAAAGAGGTAAGAATTTATTTTCCAGTTTTAACACTTTTGTTACTTTGGAAGATAGCTTTGTGTCTTAATTTAAAATAAGCAAATTCATACATAATGAATTTGCTTTGTTTGATATCAAAGAATATAAATTAATTTCTGTATATTTAGATACCTTTTCCGATCATTCAAATCAACAAAGTTCTTCCAAACCACAACCTTGGACTGGGTGGAAGCAGGTTTGCAAGTGTGCCGACAGGGTTATAACATGTTAAATCTGCTGATTCACCGCAAGAATCTAAATTACCTGCATTTGGACTATAATTTCAATTTGAAACCAGTGAAAACTCTGACAACAAAAGAACGTAAAAAATCGCGATTTGGCAATGGTGAGTTGATTATTATGATATTTTGTAAAAGGGTTTTACCCTACCTACTTAATAACCCATACAATAAACAATAATTTGGTAACTAAACAAAAATAATATTATAATAATATTATAAAAAGGTAAACCATATTTAAAAAGATATTGCCGGGAAATAACATGTTTCCATTTCATAAGGGTGAAGTTTTGAACAGATGATCATAATAATTATTTTGTCCCACCTTTGGCATACAGTCTTGTTAACAAAAAATATTCTTTTCCCAACAGCATTCCATTTATGTCGTGAGATTCTCCGACTCACAAAGCTGATTGTAGACTCGCATGTGCAATATCGACTGAACAATGTAGACTCATTCCAATTGGCTGATGGGTTGCAGTACATTTTTGCTCATGTTGGTCAACTTACTGGAATGTACCGATATAAATACAAGCTTATGAGACAGATTCGAATGTGCAAAGACCTTAAACATCTTATCTACTACAGATTTAATACTGTAAGTAACTTTGAATTTTTGTATTTATGTTAATTTAACTATGTCTGCATACTTATCTTTTTGTTTTCAATCTGCTCATTTTAATTTTATGGAGTCATAAGGACAACATTTCCTTCCTTCAAGGGGTGTCGAAAGAGATGTCTGTGTGAAATGCCAATAATGTTTTAAATTGGTTTCTGATGGGTGCTGGTAACCCACATTTATGCTAAACCTAAAGTACCCAAATCAACAATAGCGCGCAGCTTCAAAGTCAATTAAGCGTTTGTGGTAAAGCTTCCCTACAGTGGTGCAGACATCCAGTTTAGGAATTATAATGAGCTTAATTATTAAGAGAAGTTCTCCTGCTCATCTGCAATGCTTGTTCTTTATCAGCCTGTAAAAGTCTACTGCTGGATGTGGGCATAAAGAGACCCATATCTAGTTGTGGATAGAATTTGCAGCATCTTAGATTTTTCAAGCTATGCTATAATTTTTCAGAAGATTCACATAGCTAGTAATAATGGCTTTATATTTTTATGTTAATCGTGGAATGAAATTTTGATAAGATCTTTGATTTTTTTTTTCATAGGGGCCAGTGTCAAAAGGTCCAGGTTGTGGATTCTGGGCGCCCGGTTGGCGTGTGTGGTTGTTCTTCATGCGCGGAATTACACCACTGCTGGAGCGCTGGCTTGGCAACCTTCTGTCCCGTCAATTTGAGGGACGTCATTCCAAAGGTATGTCTTACTATGAAAGAAAAATATAACAAATCAATGCTACACATTTTGTAAATTTTAATTTATTTGCTGTTTTTATTACTATCACGTATGTGTATAATTTGTGTTACATTCAGCGTTATGAGCTTTGACTAAATGCTGTTTAATTTCGTAGGTGTCGCAAAGACTGTAACAAAGCAGCGTGTGGAATCTCACTTCGACTTAGAATTGCGAGCGTCTGTGATGCACGATATTGTCGATATGATGCCTGAAGGTATCAAGCAGAACAAGGCCAGGACGATATTACAGCACTTGTCTGAAGCATGGCGTTGCTGGAAGGCGAATATACCTTGGAAGGTAGGAAGATTATATAAAATAGTTTATTTTATAAGCTGTATTTCAATTTTACACATAAAACTTTATTAGTTCAAATTTAATTATGGATTATTTAGAATTAAATTGATGTTTAGTTGGTTAATGTTCCTGCATCAGAGAACGGGTAAGGTTTGAAAATAGATCGCCTGAATTGGGGGGGGGGGGGTTATAGAGTCGCCCCCCACTTCCTTGTCCTGCCGGGCGTGCTTAGTTTTCGTAATGTCTTTGACAATATAAACCTGATTTATGGGGTAGAGAATGGTTGGGAACCCAGGGTTGGGTTTGAAAGTAAGTCGCCTGTATTTTGCCGGCATAGCGATTCATTTTACGCATTTTGAGATGATTTTGACAGATGCAACGTCAAAAACGTTAGAATTTAGTTAAATATACGATCCATTTCACGTTTAGTTAGTGATTTACCAATAGTTTTAAAAAATAATTAAAAATATTTCGACGCAGCTCCGGCAGAAAAAATTGCATGAGGGTGCTTCAGATAAACCCCCTTGACCTCCCCCCCCCCCCCACAGTGACAGAATTTTCAAATCCTCAAATTCGACTCTTGATTTCAAACCCAACCGCAGAGAACTAAAAATCATAGTTTTTGAACCATTTGCGATTGATCTGTGTAAATTCTATTGCAGGAAATTTTTTAATTATGCAATCATATTGAAATAAAATATTTAATCATAAAAACCATTGGGGACTGTACTACAATTATTCTAAAAGTAAAATACTTTTGGAGATTTTTTTTAAATAGTCTTCTTATAAATACCATATCTAAGCTGCCTACTATTGAAATAATATAGTTTTATTCAGACAGTGTTTTATATTGTTGACTAGCTGTTCCGCGCGACTTCGCTCGCGTGTTAAGGTTTTAATGTTTTTACGCGGAACCCTAATTCTTTTTCTAAAATAAAAGTAGCCTAAGTTACCTCTTATGAAATCAGATACCAGCCAGTGAAAGTCCCGTCAAAATCGGTCCAGCCGTTTCGGAGATTAGCCGGAACAAACAGACACAAAAATGTTAAAAATTGTGTTTTTGTTATAAGTACCATATATACTTTCATATGCAATTAGTAAAAAGCTGTAATTTTGACATTACAAACAGACACTTCAATTTTATTTATTTGTATAGATTATGATCAAAATATTTTTGTACCATTAATCTATAGTATGGTCCAGAGGACACTACCCCAAGTTATCCCGGGAGTGTCATATGTTGAGACAGTGGGAAACTGAAACACGAGACGGGAAACATAGGAACTTACTGATAACAACTTGATAATAATAAAATTATGATTGATCAACTCACCTGCAAAGTATTGCAACTATTGCAAATATCCCCCTATGCAGTAGTAACCTTTGCCTATGTTCAGACTTTTGATAGGCTGTAATAAATGATTGAATGAATCTATAATTTGCATTAAAGCTAAACTTATCTACATGCTAGGTGCCAGGATTGCCGACTCCAATCGAAAACATGATCCTACGTTACGTGAAGATGAAAGCGGACTGGTGGACGAACACGGCGCACTACAACCGCGAGCGTATTCGACGCGGTGCCACCGTCGATAAGACCGTCTGCAAGAAGAACCTCGGCCGTCTGACGCGTCTTTACCTCAAGGCAGAGCAGGAACGCCAGCACAACTACTTGAAGGTATCTAAACTTTCCACTCAATGACTTTGGTTATATGTTAAAGCATTGTTGCATATTTTATTATTATGATATTGGACTATCTTGACAATACTTACTTAACACGTGGTAGAACCATGCTGAAGCTATATTATAGTTGTAGTACAAATAGGTTGGCACAGCCAGGGAAGGACTAAACTCACAGAATACCAGTGTAAAATAAGAACTTAATGCTGTTGCTGTGTTTAGTATGATAAGTGTAGAGTATCATAGAACCATTTCACTGGAAATAAGGAATTCTATCTTAGTTCTCGGGGTAGACAATGATGTTACTACATTTTGATTCTTAATCGAGGGTAGAAGATGTAGATGTCTATGGGCTTTACATCAACTACTTACCATTAGGTGGACTGTGATATTTGCTTTTACAATAAACAAATGTTTGTCCTAAATGAGATTCAAACTCATTCAATAGCAGTTGTTTATTGACGGCGGTAGTCACTTACCATCAGGTGGGCCACATAGTAATTTGCCCCCCACTCATATAAAAAAAAACTCAGGTTCCCTGACCATTTTACCTTTGGTTATTGTTGTTAATAGTAATTCATTGTTAGCTTTTTTTACTGTAGACTTCAATCATTATCTGTTATTTAGATATGAAAGAGCGAAACATGGGATAAATACTGCTCTAACATTTTATGTAGGTTTCTTTCATAATGTACTTTTATATATTTCCTCATAATATTTCTACGTAGACTAATACATACTATTTATTACTTTTATACCCTTAACATACAAATATTAAAACTTATTTTAATAGGATGGACCCTACATCTCGCCTGAAGAAGCTGTAGCTATTTACACTACAACTGTGCACTGGCTTGAGTCACGACGGTTTGCTCCTATACCTTTCCCGCCGCTTTCGTATAAACACGACACAAAGCTCTTGATTCTTGCTTTGGAGAGGCTGAAAGAAGCTTACAGCGTCAAATCACGTCTGAATCAAAGCCAGAGGGAGGAATTGGGACTTATTGAGCAGGCGTACGATAACCCGCACGAAGCCCTGTCGAGAATTAAGCGTCATTTGCTTACACAGAGGACATTTAGGGAGGTATGTCATTTACTTTTTTTTTTTTCATTGGAACATTAAAGAAATATAATTGTTATTAATATTTATATTGTATTTACTTATAACAATTTGTGCAATCAAAAAACTAATAATATTACCAACAAGCAATACAGGAATTGGTAAAATGCTTGTCATTTGATAATTTCTCATTGTTATGCAAATAGTATCCAACTTTACACTACTTGAAAATTACTTATTGTGTTGGGGGAAAAAGTTCCTTCGTATTTTGTTTGTATTAAATTTAAGAAAAATCTCTTTGGTTGTACTGTTTGTATCTGACTGGTTTTAATATTAATACATACTCCTATAGGACATTAAGAAAAAGAATATTTAAAAAAAACTTTCCCGTCATTTTTCAATTGCTTTTCTGCCCTCCAAAATGAGTGCATCTAACGAAGAAATTTGATACATTCTGAAGTTTTATTACAAAAAAGGGAAAATGCGACTCAAGCCGCGAAAAACAATTGTCGAAGTCGATGCAAATTTTGAAGAAGCAAGATCGGCATATTTACGACATAGCCGAGAAATTGAGGATTGACGACAATACATTTTGACCCATTTGAAAAAGTATGGCTATACAAAAAAGCTCGATAATCAGGTACCCAACTCGAGCTCACTGAAAGAAACCTAAGGAATAGTGTACTCATTTTAGATTATCTATTGAAACATTTGAAATCGAACCATTTTTAAAAGATTGATTACTGATGATGAAAAGTGGATCACATACGACAAGAACATGCGAAAAAGATCATGATAAAAGGTTAGTCCAGCTCCACAGACTGTATAGTGAAACCCAGATTAACATGCAATAAGGTGATTCTGTGTGGTGGGATTGGAAGGTAGTCGTTTATTATGAGCTTTTACCGCCGGGAAAAACCATTGATTCGGATCTATACTGCCAACAACTAATAAGACTCATGCAAGAAATTGAGAAAAAATGGCCATAATTGATCAACCAGAAAAGGAGTGGTCTTTCATCATGATAACGTCAGACTACACACATCTTTGGGTCACTCAGCAAAAATTGAGAGAGCTTGGACCTTGCACCCTCAGATTTGCACCTGTTTTGGTCTCTTCAGAATTCTTTGGGTAGTGTTAGATTAACATCAAGAGAGGACTGTTAAAACCACTTGTCGTATTTTTTTTTGATCAAATATCCCAAGATTTCTACAGTAACGGGATTATGTCACTACCAACAAGATGGCAACAAGCTATTGAACAAAATGGCACATATATATTATAATTAAATGTAATTAAACTGAAAACACATATGTCTTGAATTTGTATATAAAATACGAAGAAACTTTTTCCCCGACTTTATATGCAACAGTAATAAAATCGGAAGTAGGCTTAAATACCTAAACACAGTTTCAAAGACATGGCAACATCCATAATATACAGGGTTATTTTGCAATAACCGGCCAATTTTGAAGAAAAGGTTCATAATAAGTAATACAGGCAAATGGTGAAAAAAAGTTAATTTAAAAATATCTCAAACATTCTGTCATTTTTATCTTTTAAATTCAAAATGCGTGGTAATGCATTATTTTAACATGATTTTACCATGCACACACATTCGTAAGGGTCGATCGGTAGGCAAAAACGTTGTTGCCCACAAATCATATTCAATTTGGGATGATTTCAAATAAAAGTAGAAGCCTTATTTACTCGTATTTTCAATAATGGTATATCAGTATAACGGTAAAAAAAAATCTTTGAAACTATTTACTTTTGAGATTTGAAGTCCCATGACCAGTACTTTCGCCATCACCTTGGTCATGTGGTAGGTAATTAAAATCCAAGTAAATTAGTAGTAGTTCTTATAAATGTAATGTAAAGGTGTGATGTACATATAAATTATAATACATATATATTATAATTAAATGTAATTAAACTTTGAAAAAAAATTTACTTGAATTTGTATATTAAATACGAAGAAACCTTTTCCCTGACCTTACATAAACAATTCTTAGGATCTATAATTTCAAATATTATCAAGAATTCCAGTAACATACTCGTATGTAGGAAATAAAAAAAAAATACATACAAATTGATGCAAGTCATTATTATCATTGAATATGAATTTAAATTTTAAATATCAATATATTCAAAAGAAACTTTTGTTGGGACACCTTTGCTTGTTACCTAATAATTCATTAAGGAAATACATTTGAGAAACTGTATGGTTCATAAACAGATGTAATTAATAGGTAAACATTTCAACAGGTGGGCATTGAGTTCATGGATCTGTACTCGCATTTAGTACCGGTTTATGATGTCGAGCCTCTCGAAAAGATCACAGATGCATATCTGGACCAGTATCTATGGTACGAAGCCGACAAACGTCGCCTATTGCCACCGTGGGTCAAGCCAGCAGACACAGAGCCCTCCCCGCTTCTGGTCTATAAATGGTGTCAAGGTATGTTCATAATATCTTTATATGCTAGAACACTAATAATCATTATAATGATTGAATTTTAATGCACCTTGTCAATAGATTTTTATTTCTTTCTCTACTTTTTCTGATCAAGATGATGGTAATGTATGGAATGTTTAGTGTAGTGAATATTTTAAGTACATATTATCTTTCATAATATTTAACTGCTAATGCATGTCGAACAGATCAAAGACTCCACTCTGTTGAAAGTCTAAGATATATAAGATTATTTACATTAAATCTAATATAATTGCTAAAGTCTAAGAAGCGAACTGCAACACTAGCTAAATGCCACTGGAATGCGCTTGCGCCAAAGCAAGAGAGGAGGCAGTTACCCACAGTGTGCGTTGTGGCAAAGGAGATTAATATGGTTGTACCATCCCCTTGTTACAAACCTCACTTTGGTTGATTGCATATTCATCAATGGTGTAGAAATTCAAGACGCCGCGCTGGAACTTACTGACCATTATTTTTTGCCATTGTACTTTTGTACATCTTATAATATACAAAATATATATTATACCATAAGTATTAGATCTGTATAATATTACAGAAACACAATTTTTAGTTGTGCACTCTTAAAGGATGTTTTCACGCAACTGTTGTGCATTTTATAGTACAGTCCGTACAGATAAAGAAAGGGATTAGAAATGGCGGCTCATCGAGACGGTACCGTCAACATGCCCAGTACCAATAACGAAAACCCGCTAATAACGGTATATCATTATAACGTTATATTATTCGGTTAATTAGAAACTTTCTATTAATGTGAAAATATATGAAAATAATCGTATACGCAAGTAGATATGTTAATTTTAAAATAACATTTATAACTATCAACCTGCTCAGGTTTCATCGGGCTGGGATTAATGTGGGGTTATTTAAACTTAAGATAATCGTTAAAGACCATTTATTTTATCTTATAAATATTTCTGTTTTAATAGTCACCAAATTTTTCGAATAAAATTTAGTCTAGATCACTTCAGTTATTACACTCTATTTATTCGTGAAGTTTTATTACAATCGACTCAGCCATTCTGAAGATTAGCTTGGAGAGACAGACAAACGAAACTTAAAAACGATTACTCATTTTACAATAACATGTTTTTTTATACTAAAATATTAACAAACAAAATCAACAATAATTATGAAGAAAACTCAGAACGCGTCGTAGCTCACAATTAGCGAAACCGGACAGAATACTTTTTTATTTTGTCATTTTGTTATCATTGATTCCAATGACAAGTTTGACTGAAGTTATAGAACGTATGAAAAACGCATATCGCAACGTATTTCTTTTGCAGTCCTTACCGGCGGGTGTGAATATAGATATCAACAGTGTGCGAGCGAGAGGTGAATAGAGGCGACGCCATTTTCAATCCCATTCTTTAACCGCACGGGTAGTACAGTTTATATAATATATATACAATAAATAATATCTTAATTTTTCAATCTTCTTAAGTTTTAATGTTTGCTTCCATTGTATATTAAATTTTTTCATGTTGGTTATCCATACTGTAGCTGTACATAATTTTATTGTTACATTTCATCTGTAATGAGTTCTTTAAGAGATACACTTTAGTTTAATGTTGCCTGACATTTTTACAAAATATTAGCATTAAAGAAGGTTGGCCAAATCGTACCAGACGATGAAACGATGGTGTCACTATATGAAATATATATGAAAAATATCCTTATTTTTTAAGGTCCTAAAAATCACAAAAAATACCTCTAAGTAGCCACAAAAAAAAAGTTATCCTTTTATTTTGGTTTTTGTAACTGTTCCGAAATTATTTAAAATAATGGTTTCTGAACGCACTGGAACGTACCTAATGACGATTCATTTCACGTATGAAAGGACTTTGTATTCAAAGACTAATTATTCACGTTTTTCTGAATAGTTGTTAATTGTAATTTAATTCAATTAGTATGTAGGCATCAAATCAACTACTATACTAATTTATTATGTACTGGATTCATGTCATAAAATTGATTATCTAGCTTCATAGTAAGCTAAGCATTTTGTTCAATTACGTATAATGGGACATCATGTGTCATCGTCAAGTTAAATAATCTGTGGTCATCGATCGACATTGATTGTCACCCGGCAATCATCTACATATATATATATATCTTATTTGCTTCATTCGTTGTGGATTGTGATACGTACTGCACTATTTTAGATTTCCTTCAGTTGTTTTGACCTCGGCATTGTTTTACAGACTGATAACTACCACTTGTAACGATTATTCTGTGCTTTTGATTTCTGGACACTGATTTTGCATCTTGCATATTTGTGAGAGACATCATGCAGACTACAGCTACACAACAACGACAACTAGCCCTGCGATATGATACACTTCGCCGCCATCTCGTTTTTGAGCTTGATACCAGAGTAATTTCCAAGATCCGCGAGTGGAATTCTTCAATAATAGTACATATTTACATACCTACTTATTTTATTACACTAACATTAGCCATCACACACAATCATACATCATAATACAAATTTAATTCTTATTTTATATCACTGAAGAAGATTACATATTCACATATCTGACAACAATATTTTTTATAATAACATCAACAATATTTTTGAGGTTAGCATCACTGCTAACCTCAAAAATATTGTTGATGTTATTATAAAAAATTGTGGCTATTTAGATATGATTTTCATATGGGATGGTGTTTACAACATAAAAGCAAACCAATCTAGCTATAGCTTGTTTTGGGACATGAAAAATAAAAGTCAAGTCCAGCTCCAATAGAAATTTGGCCATTGTTCTTTCCTATTCTATTTTGTAACAGCTACTGACAAAGTTGCACTTTGGTGTTATCACCATATATTGTATACCAAAGCTGATCTGACATATTATCTATATCTATGAAGGCATCAACAACTTGCAAGATGTATGGGAGGTCGGTGAAGGCGAGTGCAACGTGCTTTTGGAGTCTCGCTTTGAGAAGCTGTATGAAAAGATTGACCTCACTCTTCTCAACCGACTGCTGCGACTGATTGTTGATCACAACATCGCTGATTATATGACCGCGAAGAATAACGTTGTTATCAATTATAAGGTGAGAAATATAATAATATAGCTTTACAAATAATAATAAGTAAATTTCCTAAATTACTTATATTAAATGTAAAATTAAGAAGGAAGATTAAATTTTAACATATTTTTTTATTTTAGGATATGAACCATACCAACTCATATGGCATTATTCGTGGTCTACAATTTGCATCATTTATTGTTCAATATTACGGCCTGGTGTTAGACCTCCTTGTACTGGGTCTGCAGAGAGCCAGTGAGATGGCCGGTCCCCCACAGTTGCCAAATGACTTCCTCTCCTATCAAGACAGACAGACAGAAGTGACACATCCAATCCGACTGTATTGCAGATATATTGACAGGATTCATATATTCTTTAGGTAAATTTTTTGATTTCCATACAATTATTAATTTTGGTACAATAACTGATTAATAATTAATATTTTATTTGTTGGGAGGCCTGTGCTCAGCAGTGGGACGTATATAGGCTTTAACTATATATTTTTTTGTAAGTATAATGTAATTAACTGTTTATTATGTGTAGGTTCACTGCAGAGGAAGCACGTGATCTCATCCAACGTTATCTAACAGAGCATCCTGATCCAAATAATGAAAACATTGTAGGCTACAACAACAAGAAGTGTTGGCCCAGGGATGCGCGCATGCGACTGATGAAGCATGACGTCAACTTGTAAGAATTCACCACATTTTTCTTGTAACTAAAATATTTGTAACAAATTAATAGAATGCCAGCCGCATTTTGTACGACGACGTCGAGAGTTTTAGTTAATGATTTCTTATATTTACGCGAACACTACACATTGAATAAAACTATGTTTAGTGTTCGCGTAAGTAAAAGTAGTTTTAGTTATGCTTTCTTGAGACTTAACACATTTACAACCTACTTAGAAAATGGAGGGGTTATCATTATCAATTCAGCTATGGCTTTCTTAATGTATTTAACATGTTTCACTAAGTTGAATTATCGTTTCATCTGATTTTTAGGATTGCGAACCCGAAGGGTAACCAACAGGACCCTATTACTAAGCCTCCGCTGTCTGTCCATTCGTCCGTCTCTCTATCTGTCTGTCAGCAGGCTGTATCTCATGATCCGTAATAGGTAGACAGACAGTTGCAATTTTCACAGAATATGTATTGCTGTTGCCGCTATAACAACAAGTAATAAAAATAAATTAAAAATCAAAGGGAGCTATTACTACTACTACTAGAAACGTGTTTTACGATGGTACGGAATCCTTCATGCGCGAGTCCGGCTCGCGCTTGACCAGTTTTTAAACTGTTTATTTTTCAATAGACTATACTTTTACAGTGGTCCCATATAAATTTCAACAACAACTACTGCATAAATGTAGTCGATTTTTTTTAAATTATCTGATTTTATAGATTTATACCTTAATATCTACCACTTTTCATTATTACTATCTACAACTATTATAACTCTCATTTTGCCCTGGTAGGGGGCGTGCCGTGTTTTGGGACATCAAGAACCGTTTGCCGCGCTCTGTCACCACTATTCAGTGGGAGAACAGTTTCGTGTCAGTCTACTCTAAGGACAATCCAAATCTACTGTTCAACATGGCTGGTTTTGAATGCAGAATTTTACCTAAGGTAAGCAAACAAAAATATACTTTGCTTACAATTTTTTTTTCTAAACAATGTCATACTGCATATTATGTTCACTGAAAATGTAGTGCTTTTAAAAATAGTTTCTTAAAACTTTAATAACTTTATTTTAATGAAGATATCGCTATATTTTTTTAAGATAAGGGCCAAGTGTCTAAGGAATAAAACTTGAAAACCTAATTGAAATCTATCCAGTAGGTGTTCCATGATGTGCGCGCAACTGCAAACCTTTATCATTTTATTTATATAGATATGTCATATTGAGTAATTTAACAAATACAATATATAACTATATTATTTTCACCATTAAATATATAGATTAATAAAACATCTAAAATGTAAATATTTAATAAATTTTAAACTTATAGGTTATTATTTGAATGCTTCGAATAAGTAATGCTAATCTAAAAAGATAAAATTTATTTTAGTGCCGCAGCCAACATGAGGAACTAACACATCGCGACGGCGTATGGAACCTTCAAAACGAAGTGACTAAAGAGCGGACCGCTCAGTGTTATCTACGTGTTGACGATGAATCGTTAGCCCGCTTCCACAATCGCGTGCGTCAGATATTGATGGCGTCTGGCTCTACCACATTCACCAAGATCGTCAACAAGTGGAACACGGCGCTTATTGGTGAGTTGTGATGCATGTTTTTTACCTTAATGTGTTCCGATTTGCAGACTATAAACCCAGTATATATAATACTTGTTGTCTTTTTTGCTTGGAGTTGACTGGAAGTGTCCTTAGGCGTCAATGGCCACTTACACTAGTATTCAAAGACAATTTCAAGTTTAAACTCAAACTCCACAATGTCAAACAAATTTTGAGTAGGACATATACATTTTATTTACACAAATATAACAATAGTTTCACTAAATAATTTGGTCTGCACGTGCATTAGACGTGATGAATTGCGTAGGGGTCCTGAAACCAGAGGCTCGCTGTGCTCTGGGGGCAAGCAGTGACTGTGGGCCCGCCGATCGCGACGTACCGCAGCACTGTTTGCCTGAAAACTACGCTTTCTGATCTAATGTAACTTACCACCTAAACATTCATGCTCGTCGGTTAAGAATACTCGTAACAACTCCGGTTATTTAGCAAAAATGAGACTTAAAGTTAAAGAAAATGTAAGACTATTTTTAGAAGAACTCACATAATAAAACTTTTTCCAGCAAACATTTTTAATGTCATTAACACTATATTTAAGGTCTGATGACGTACTTCCGTGAGGCCGTTGTTAACACGCAAGAACTGCTAGACTTGTTGGTTAAATGCGAGAACAAAATTCAGACCCGTATTAAGATTGGTCTCAACTCAAAGATGCCTTCGCGTTTCCCGCCTGTGGTGTTCTACACGCCTAAGGAGTTAGGAGGACTTGGAATGCTGTCTATGGGACACGTGCTTATCCCACAGGTAATAAAACTTTTTATTAGGATCATTCAGGACTGCTTATTATAAAAATAAAGTGAAAAATGAAGTAATTATTAAAGATTTGTATTTTACACCATCAATAAATAATTGATGCAATGTTTTTATTTCTTATTGAACTGAAATGTATAAATATATAAATTCTTATAATTGCATCTGTCTTGCAGTCGGACCTTCGTTGGTCAAAACAAACGGACGTGGGTATCACTCACTTCCGTTCGGGAATGTCACACGACGAGGACCAGCTGATCCCCAACTTGTACCGCTACATACAGCCGTGGGAGGCTGAGTTTGTCGACTCGCAACGTGTGTGGGCGGAGTATGCACTTAAAAGACAAGAGGCAAATGCTCAGAACAGGTATGTTTTGTGTTATAGTGTGGTTATTTTAAATAATTGTACTCTCTACTGACATGATGAACTACTGCAAACCAAAAATCAGAAATGTAGATAACATGGCTATACTAAATGGTTCTGGTACCATTATTTGGTAATATCAAAGGCAGAGACCACTCGTGATTGTTTTTAGTGTGAATATAATCTTATTATATGCTAGAATTATTAATATTTATTTATCATTTTTATTTATAATTTAGTCAAATTATAGATCCTCAAGTATTATCAGAATCACAACTTGAAAAATAAAAATCATGAACATAAGAATAATCAATGAATAGACATCAGAACCGTATTTCATATAACAAAATAGTAGTTAAATGTTACTAACATAACAATTTTAAAGACTGTCTTTCATTTTCAAATTTCAATAATTTATGTTAATTAAGGTTAAAAGTGTGCTTTGCCATTTACAACAACGTATTTATGACAAAATAATTATTGTGAATATCTGATGAATCTGATATGATGAATTGCGTAGGGGTCCAGAAACCAGAGAGTCCATGTGCTCTGGGGACGTATGATTGACTGCGAGCGCGCTGATCGCGACGTATCGCAGCTTCTTATGTCTGAAACAACGCTGTCTGATCTTTTATATTACCAAAATAATAATATCATTTTATCAATCCCTTGATTTTATAATAAAAATTAAAATATTATTTATAGGCGTTTAACACTTGAAGATTTGGAAGACTCCTGGGATAGAGGAATTCCAAGGATTAACACACTTTTTCAAAAAGATCGTCACACGCTAGCTTACGACAAAGGCTGGCGTATAAGAACAGAATTTAAACAGTATCAGGTAAAAAATACTTTTAAGAAATAATTTTTAATTTAACAAAAATCCACTCCTCTTCATTAAAACTTCTTTCTGTAGCATAGATGATAGATAAAAACGCCTTCTAGTAGCGGCGTAAAATAATCCACTAGCCAATAATATCATCCCTACAAACAGGGAAACTGAAATAGGAGAGGGATAGAATCATCTTCCTGATAATAAATCAAAATAATAAAAACACTATGATTGCCTAACTGGGCTCCAAGCGTGGCAACTATGGCAAAATTTCCTCTCATATGAGGCTATATATGAGGGAGGCTTAGATTCAATTCAGTGGACTTTAATGGGCTGACACGATGGTGATGATGATGTAATGTTTTATGCAGGTTTCGTATGCGTGGCGTGAAGTCAAACTCTATTAAAATTATATCAATCGCAGTATTAATTAAATCATTTATTTCTATTTACATCATCACCCCTGTCATCATTTTATTTTTGGGATTACAAACTGAATGCAAATAAAACTTTAATTTTTCTCTAGGTCTTGAAGCAGAATCCATTCTGGTGGACGCATCAGCGTCACGACGGCAAGCTGTGGAATTTGAACAACTACCGCACAGACATGATTCAAGCTCTCGGAGGAGTTGAGGGCATTCTCGAACATACCCTCTTCAAAGGCACCTACTTCCCGACATGGGAAGGTTTGTTCTGGTTAGTATGAAAGTAATTATTAAATTTTGTTGTATCAAGAGGAATGAAGTAACTTTTTTATTCCATTTAATATTATTAATTCTTATCTGATGTGCGTATTTATAGGGAGAAAGCGTCAGGATTCGAAGAGTCTATGAAATACAAAAAGCTGACTAATGCCCAGCGTTCGGGTTTGAACCAAATTCCGAACCGTCGCTTCACGCTATGGTGGTCGCCTACTATTAATAGGGCTAATGTGTACGTCGGTTTCCAGGTAACATATTTTTAAAGAGAAAATATAATTTGATTTGTGACCTTCTAAACTTAGAATTACATTTGTACACGCCCCTAGCTGCCCCAACAAAGGTTGACTGGACTAGGGCCCATCAGTAATCCAATCGACGGACAACTAAGGGTGGGGCCCAACGGCCTATGGAGACTTATTATTCTACACAATAGATATAAGGCTAGGTAAATAAATAGTACGTACCTGGTTCCGAAGCTAACTGCCCCAAGGCTCGGTCAGGCGGTAGGTAGGTGTAGGTGCATGTAAGTGGTGTGTAGTAGTGTTTATATATGTGCCCTGACGGCCCGATTTAATCGGACAGAAAATCCATCTGAGCTGATGTTCTCCCAATGCGCGCTCCCTCAAGTCGTGGATCACCCATGGAAAATTTCTGCCTTCCTTTCTCTATTTCAGTTTATCAACTTTATTGTACATTAATTCAATCCATCAACTTTATTGTACATTTAATTAACTTCAAAGTCAACCAAATTCAACGTTCATCGGAATCAAACACGTGACACCCGACACAAGTAACGAACAGTCGTTCAAAGTTCAATATTCAAGGTTCCGGGTTCATTTAGCACCAAATTACAAACAGGGAACGACCGCGATCTCTTCTCGAGTCACAAAGTTCAGCGTTCCAAACAACAAACTAAATTCCTACGTACGATATTAAATACTACGCCCGTAATAAGACTCAAAATCAGCCTAGCTGACACGCAAACTAACTACATAGTCAACACACAAAAGGCATTTAACGCGACGATACAATTAAACATTAACTTCCAAAAACAATTAATGGGCCATGCCCTCGAAATGGAATGCGAGCGTCAAATTCCAGACCTTATGTCCACTCGGCGTGCGCGCATGGTTCCACGTCACACAAGCAAGTTAAATATTGCAAAATGCACTTCAACATGCAATCACTATACAATTGACGTAATTATTTGCAAACGAAATTACTTTAATCAGTCAAATTCAATACAAGCCTCTTGTCACGAAACGTACAACTTAGACAAACTAATTCGAGGCGGTCTACACGAAATCCAAATTCAATAGTAAATTAACGCGCACAAATACTCAAATTCTAGACCACAAAACCAAAAAACTGGTCGCGCGAAACCAATGCAGCGGTCACAAAAATTCGTTAATCGACAGCGCCGCTGCTGTCAAGCTACTGATCGCACTCGCGGCCTGCTCTCGCGCCCTCTGCCGAGCGACCCACACGGTAGTGGGGCGACGGTGACCTTTACAAAGTCAACGGGAGGACACGAGTGTTGAATGCAAATTTCAAATGTTAATTGTTTGGCCTAAACAACATTGATAGCAAAAAAACTACCTATTGTATATACTATTACTGTCCTATTCTAATATGCACGAGTCGTGTTTTATTTAGAGCACAAAATAATATGAGTCTTAAAGTAAAATAAGTCATGAAATAATGTGTCAAATTATATGTTCATATCCAATTTAATATCAAACTTCTTTTATGAAGTATTATTAATTCACTTGTTTTTATTTAGGTGCAACTTGATTTGACTGGTATTTTCATGCATGGTAAAATTCCGACCTTGAAAATCTCTCTCATCCAAATCTTCAGGGCCCATTTATGGCAAAAGGTACACGAGTCCATTGTCATGGATCTGTGTCAGGTAAATATTTTATGATACATATTAAGTCTAATTATGACAATTTTAAATAATTCTTGTTTCTTTTATCATGTTTGTTAATTTTATTATTCATGTCTTTTATCCTATAGGTGTTTGATCAAGAGCTAGATGCACTTGAAATCGAGACAGTTCAGAAGGAAACAATCCATCCTCGAAAGTCCTACAAGATGAATTCATCATGTGCAGATATTCTGCTCTTTTCAGCATATAAATGGAATGTATCACGACCATCACTTCTAGCGGACTCCAAGTATGACCAAAGTTCCACTTCCTTCTAATTATTCCAGCATGCATCTACAAGTTAAAAATTAGAAATAATAATTGCAGTACATAGCTATAGATTAAAATCAACAGAATACGATTGTATTTAAAACCAAGCTATAGAGTTCACTTTGTCTAATTACATTCTCAGAAGTACAAATACAATTTTTTTTATCACTACAAGATGAGGTTGAAATCAAGCTTACAATTAATGAAAAATTGCTTAAAATTTTCATTTGTATTTTATATAATATTTAGCAAATAATATTATAAGCATGGAAAAGCTTTTGAAGTATGTATTTTTGTAATTTTTATTATAAACAGTCACATTCTTAACAGAGATACAATGGACAACACCACTACACAAAAGTACTGGCTTGATATACAACTGCGTTGGGGTGACTACGACTCACATGACGTGGAAAGATACGCGCGAGCCAAGTTCCTGGACTACACCACCGACAATATGTCCATCTATCCGTCGCCCACTGGTCTGCTTATCGCCATTGACCTCGCCTACAATTTGCACAGGTAGGTTTTCTCCTCTACCTAAGAGTTTGACAGAAATTTTAATATAATAATAGTTTCAAGGTCACTTTATGAAAACTTTTTGATTAATATATTTTTGCATTTTTATCTAACAGTGCTTATGGCAACTGGTTCCCTGGCTGCAAGCCACTGATTCAACAAGCAATGGCTAAAATAATGAAAGCCAATCCAGCTCTGTATGTGCTTCGTGAACGCATCCGTAAAGCACTGCAACTGTACTCCTCGGAACCTACTGAGCCCTACCTTTCCAGCCAGAACTATGGAGAGCTGTTCTCTAATCAAATCATCTGGTGAGTGTCAGTCGCTCTTTATAAGTAAATATTTTTTTTTATTGAAAACTACATTTAATTCCTTAAAATATCATTTCTTATTTTTACTTATTAATGTCTTTTGAGTTTCCTAAAGTACACCATTGAATTGTATTGGAGGTCTTCTGGGTGTTTTAAAGAGTTTTTAATTTGATAATGTAATGTTATAATTGGTACTGTATTCATAAATATTAATCTATTTAAACACTGTTATCATCATATATGTATATCAAAAGTACATCATCGAATCTATTTCGTATACAGGTTCGTTGACGACACAAATGTGTACAGAGTAACAATCCACAAGACCTTCGAGGGTAATCTCACTACCAAACCGATCAACGGCGCCATCTTTATCTTCAATCCGCGAACAGGTCAACTATTCCTCAAAATAATTCACACGAGCGTATGGGCTGGACAGAAGCGTTTAGGACAGGTAAGCAAAGAAAACATAATTTACATTTATGATTGATTGGCTATTTCTGCAGAAAAATAGAATAACGTAAAATAAAGTGGTAGAGCCATGCTGAAGCTATCAGTAGTGTAGTTGTAGCACGAATGTGGGGTCGGCTCGACCGGGCAAGGACCACGCTCTCATAGAATACCAACTTAATTCTGCTGTATTTTGTATGGTGAGTAGAAGACCCATTTTACTGGAAACATGGCATTCCATCTTAGTCCTCATGGGTTTTTTTTATAGGATAACGGTGACAAACGAGCACACAGTCCACCTGATGGTAAGTGGTTGCTGCGGCCCATAGACATCTACATCTATCCTCTGTTACAAATCAAAATGTAGATGCGTTGTCACCCGTGAGGACTAAGATCGAATGCCTCTTTCCGGTAAAAAGGGCCTCCGGCCACCTGCACTCACCAAGCGAAACGCAGAGGTAAACCTCTACTTCAAGCTGGTTTTCTATGAGGTCGTGGTACCACCCCGGTTCGAGGCGGCCCATCCGTGCGACAGCAAAAGCTGCCGCGTGGCTCTACCACTGTGTAAATGTACCACTGTTGGGTGACAATGCATCTGTATTTTGATTCATAGTCAAAGATAGATGTATATGTGTATTTGCCACAGCAACCACTTACCACCAGGTGGACTGTGTGTTCGTTCGTCACCCTTATCCTACAAAAAAAATATTGGCGCAGTGTGGCTTTCTGATACCAAACTGGATACTTTCCGGTCTGGCGATTTTTAGTTGATGATCCAGATAGATGTAGATGTTAAAAAAAAGAAAAAGGATACGAGTTTATTTATCTATTTATATTTTAGTTGATGATCCATCCAGTTTTTGCAGGTTGGGAACCATAGTTCTTATTTTCTATGATATGGGGTAGTGGATATTCTTACACGGCATCTACTTGTCTATTTGTCAGAATAATAAATTTATACCAAGAAATATTATTTTTTAACAATAACAAATTTACTTAAAAATATAATTTTTTTTAATGTAGCTCGCAAAATGGAAAACTGCTGAAGAGGTAGCAGCGTTGATTCGATCTCTGCCTGTAGAAGAGCAGCCAAAGCAGATTATTGTGACAAGAAAGGGAATGTTGGATCCTTTGGAGGTAAGATCTATTTAATTGAAATTTGTTCATGTTTTGCAAAAAAGCCTTATATTGAAACAATTAAGTGTTTTATAATCTAAAGAACTCTTCTACAATTTATTAAATACTAGCTGTTCCCCGTAATTTCGCCCGCGTGGAATTTATTACGATTGGATTTTATGGGTTTTAATTTTTTTTGCACGGGACTCTAATTCTTTTTATAAAATAAAAGTAGCCTAAGTTACTCTTTATAACATCAGCTATCTGCCAGTGAAAGTCCCATCAAAATACGTCCAGCCACTTCGGAAATTAGCTGGAACAAACAGACTAAAATTTTTAAAATTGTTTTTTTGTTATAAGTACCGTACATACTTTCATATGCATTAAGTAAACGTAAAGAGTTATTTTGACATTACAAACAGACACTTCAATTTTATTTATTTATATAGACACACAATATTTCTATATTCTTCATATTTTATAATTTTTACAAAGAATTATTGATTCCGTTATTAAGGTAACGCAATAAAACTATATTTAAAAACTTAGGCTTCGAATAAAACAGTCGAACTAGACACATCAATTTTTTACTTATCATAACCTGTTACTTTAAAGTTAAGTAGACTTAAAAATAATAATAGTATTTTCCTTTAGGTCCACTTGCTTGACTTCCCGAACATCGTAATCAAAGGTTCAGAGTTGCAATTGCCATTCCAAGCTTGCCTTAAGGTTGAGAAATTTGGTGACCTGATTCTCAAAGCTACAGAACCACAGATGGTACTCTTTAACCTCTATGACGACTGGCTGAAGACTATTTCATCATATACGGTAAGTATAATATATCAATTATGAAAACATATTACTGTTACATTTTACTAAGAATCTTAAGGATGGCTTGTTTCCGCCGATAATCGCCTGTATGTATACCTATAAACCTATAATAACGTTAAATAGGCATGTAGCGAATTTGCGATCTCATTTTCAAGTATCAAACTTCCTACTCTCAAATGTTATATCAAATTTTATTATAAATACACCTTTAAAATTTTGGTAGTTTGTTTGATATGGAGGGACAATTTTTTATCTAAAACTCCAGGTTTAGTTTTCGTAACAGTCCCAATTAAAATTACAACTATTCGATAGTGATTTGCAAAAAAAAAAACAATTGTTTTGACTTACAACAATATAATAATACTATAATAACTATATATTTTTTTACGTAAATTTTTGTTTCCCAGGCATTCAGTCGGCTGATCTTGATACTGCGTGCATTACATGTTAATACTGAACGTACAAAGGTTTTACTGAAGCCAGATAAAACCACACTCACCGAGCCCCACCATATTTGGCCGACACTTTCTGATGATGACTGGATTAAAGTGGAGGTTCAACTTAAGGACCTCATTCTTGCTGATTATGGCAAGAAAAACAAGTAAGAGCATACAATCCTATTATTTATACAAGAAATCAAAATTAATACATATCTAAACTTAAATGTAATTGTCAAATGGCAATTACCATTTAAAAATAAGTTAATAAGTATTTACTTATTACTGAATAAAAGCTGCACTACGTTCCTTAATTCATAATCGTCTTTCGTTTGTTTTATTATAGTGTAAATGTAGCATCATTGACACAATCTGAAATTCGTGACATAATCTTGGGTATGGAAATCTCTGCGCCATCTGCCCAACGACAACAGATAGCCGAAATTGAGAAACAGAGCAAGGAGCAGAGTCAGCTGACGGCCACCACGACACGAACTGTCAACAAGCACGGCGACGAGATTATCACATCTACCACGAGCAACTATGAGTCACAGACATTCAGGTGAGGATTGTACAGATCTATTTTTTGTTATTATTTTAATGGCTACATTTATATTAAAAAGATAAAGTGTAAATATACCATAATTTAAACAAAAAAATTATTTCAATGGACTGGCCATTGAAATAATTTACTCAAAACAGATTTAAAAAAAGTTTCTTTGATATTGATAATAATAATGTTCCATTTATTTAAATATACAATTTTCAATATCCTTACTTTGTTTTAATTTTAGTTCGAAAACAGAGTGGCGCGTTCGTGCTATTTCGGCAACGAATTTACATCTACGTACAAATCACATCTATGTCAGCTCTGACGACATTAAAGAGAGTGGCTACACATACATCCTGCCAAAGAACCTCCTTAAGAAGTTTGTTACAATATCAGATCTCAGGGCACAGGTGAGTTGTGCATTTTTTGCTGTATAAAAAATTTATACATGGTTATTTTTCTAAGACTAGCCAAATAATTAAGTTCAAAATATAAATACTGATATACACGATTTGCACTTTTTAAAAATACGCGTAGTTAAGGTTTTACATTTATTTGAAAATAACCGAAATTGTGATTTATGGTCAAAAACTACAACAAACGCGCGCTCGTGTGTGTACGAGTCAATGCACGGAGCTTTTGCCTACTATTTACTTCCTTAATGACACTTTCGCTACTACGTTGATAACTACGCGACACGAGTTATGATTCCAATTTTCTCTTCATACTTTAAACGGGCTTAGGACCGTCATAATATATAAAGTTAAAAAAAAATACATTTCAACGACGTAACCGATAATTTTCTTTATTATGCCGTATTTAAAAAAATGGAATCAAGTATTTAAAACTATTTACAACTTAAAAATGCAATGACTTTAAATAACACTAATCATTCACAAAAATGTTTTTGAGGTGGATCATCATTATTATTCAGTGTTTGCACACGTTGATAATGAAATGGGTGGTATCCAGAAGAATTCAGTGATTTCCACACATGTTGTTGGCCAATTCTCGTACTGCATAATTGGTGCTAGCGCGGGAGTTTCGCTCGAAAAACTCGATCACTGTGTTTTCGACAGCCGGGCTTATTACTGATTGACTACTTCGGGTACTTCCATGTGATGGAGTGTTCAACTGTCCAAAGACTAACAACAGCCTTTGGTTAGCTGCAAAAATGGTTCTCCGATTGGGTGATACACGTGTGTTACCGTGTCTTTACAAACACAGTAACGACTCACTTTCGTAGTATATAGTTCAATCATTTTAGCTAAAAATTGGCAAATTTTTTGTTTAAAATTTAATTTTCTAATAAATTTACCACTTTACTGTATGACTAAAGCAAAAAATAGAATATTCTGTTTAAAAATAGGTATAATTTATTTCTAAATTCTTACACTTCACACTGCTACGCTACTTTTAAATTTAACTAAAAAATTGGCAAAATAAATGGGAGTACTTTTATCTATCGGCATTTGCACTTTAAGGAGCAGTTTAATTTTATCCACTCTCCCTCTATCTACCAGGTGAGCGTCACCCCCCCCCCCCACCCTTTTTCTCCCCAGAAAGTGTTTAGTTTTAAAGACAACTACACTATAGATGATAAATTTGCTATCAACCTTTTATACATACAAAAGCGATATCACATAGTTTCCGCGCAACTGCCACGAAATATGATTTTTTTATCATTAATTGATTTTTTCTTTGCTCAAAGTTGACTTGAGTAACTTTGAGCAAACCCTAACAACACTGTAAACATTTTTTTTATAGAATAAGTGACAAACGAGCACACAGTCCACCTGATGGTAAGTAGTTGCTGTGGCTGTGGTCGATAGACATCTACATCTATCCTCGATTATGAATCAAATTGCAATGTCAGCCGTGAGGACTCGTTTTCAGTAAAAAGGGTCTGTGGTTCTCTACAATCACCATATGAAGCACAGCGGCGTTGACCCGCTATTTTACGCTGGTATTCAGAGAGAGCGCGGTCCTTTCCTAGTCAAGCCGACCCATTCGTGTTACAAGTATACTACTAATATAGCTGCAGCATGGCTTTTCCACGTAAAAAATTGTATTCGCGCTTGGAATATTTTCGTTGCGAAATTAATCTAAATTTTAAAAATAGGACACTGGTACGTAATGAGGTCATGGTTAACCGAACACTGACGGCCGGGGCCGGCCGGGTTGAAGTACCCAGTAGTGTAACGGCTTCCGTAAGGGTAAGGGCGGGGAGACGCCCTAAATCTATAACGCCTAACTGGCCGAACGCTATCGACTGCTTTTGAATTCAGTCAATGCTACATATTTATGAATGACAATCAGTTAAAATAATGCATTTCCACACATTTTGAATATAAAAGTTTTTTATTGCTTCCTCGGGACTTCTATATTGATACGGACTCTAGTATAAACCTAAGACTTATTATGAACTACATTTTATAACATGTCGGTTAGAGTTTTTATCGAGACAAATAATTAAGTTAATTAATTAATAAGAGTGTGTTGTTGATTTGTGCAGATAGCGTGTTACCTGTACGGTACGTCGCCGCCGGACAACCCGATGGTGCGCGAAGTGCAGTGCGCGGTGGTGCCGCCGCAGTGGGGCACGCACCAGCAGGTGCACCTGCCGCGCCAGCTGCCCAAGCACCCCGCGCTCGCGCACCTGCAGCCGCTCGGCTGGATGCACACGCAGCCCAACGAGCTGCCGCAGCTCTCGCCGCAGGTACACACACACAGTCACCACCAGGTACACTACACGCACGCACGCACACCCTAATGCGCGCGCGCACACCCAGATGCAAGCATGCACACCCAGATGCACGCACACCTAAGCAAGTGCGCACGTAGTCAGACACATTCGCAGCACGCACCACGCGTGCACATGCACTCATGCACTTATTCACACGTACTCATCTAACTTGTAGTAGACGTTTATATGTACATCACACCTTTATACTATATTTAAAATAATTACTACTAATTTACTTGGATTTTAATTACCTACCACATGACCAAGAGGATGGAGAAAATACTGTCATTCAAATCTGAAAAGCAAATAGTTTCAAAGAATTTTAAGAAAGATAAATGAAATTGGTTATAATATAATTTACTTTTTTGTCAGGATATAACAACCCATGCTAAAATCATGGCTGAGAATCCATCATGGGATGGAGAGAAGACAATAATTATCACTTGCTCTTTTACGCCCGGTTCGTGTTCTCTCACTGCCTACAAACTCACGCCAAGCGGTTACGAGTGGGGAGCTAAGAATACAGACAGAGGAAACAACCCTAAAGGGTATCTACCCAGTCACTACGAAAGAGTACAGATGTTGCTCTCCGACCGTTTCCTTGGCTACTTCATGGTACCTTCCCAGGGTAGTTGGAATTACAATTTCATGGGTGAGTTAATATTACGATCAATGTATAATATTATAAAAGCAAATATGGACCTTCAAATACTTTTTTACCCATTTCAAGCCAGTTCTTGACTACTATCATCTGATGTTAAAAAGAGATTCAAATGGTAAAGTGCAATGGTTAAGCAGAAGGCTATTCGTGTCTTAAAAACTCCAACATTGTGATTTGATAGAAAAACAAACAATGGCAAATCATCCCACTCGACAAGGAAAACTATTTGTCACACAAGAGAATGAAAATAAAGTCCACACATTGAGTAACATTTATTTGCAAAGTCAAATGTTACCAATGTATAAAATTATTATATAACTTTAATCTCTAAAGAATCTTATTGGCAGATATATTGCCAGTAAATTAAGAAAGTGTACTTGATTTGTTTTTGCTATTGTTTTTAAATGTTAGCCCTACACTAGGATTTTCTCCTGTATTGTGGTGGCAGCTTACGAACATACATTTCGTGTTCGTTTCACAACATTTTTTCCGTGCGGGATTCGAACCCGCGCGAAATTCGAATACCGCGGTCCTCTGCACCATAACTCATTGCTAAGCCATTAGGCCACGGAGTCGTCGACTTGTATATATACTTGTAACAGAGTGTTCTTAATTTATTACTTTATTAGATCTCAAATCCTAGATCCTTCTGCTTACTTTATAACTCGTGAGAAATCAGTCTTAAAAATAAATATTTGTTATAGTATGTGCGAACCTAACATAAAATCACACATTTGTTAATAATTAAGTTTAAAAATCCTTTCTTGTTCATAAAAAATTAAAAAGATAAGTATTTCCCCTTGCCGCGCCTATTCCTAAATTTGTAATTTATCTTCAGGTGTTCGGCACGATCCTAACATGAAATATGGTGTACAATTGGGCAACCCCCGGGAGTTTTATCACGAAGTTCACCGGCCAGCACACTTCATGAACTTTGCTGCTATGGAAGACGCCACAGCTCCAACTCTCGCTGCTGACAGAGAGGACCTTTTTGCTTAGAAAATAATGCTAAAACTTTAATCAGATACGATAAATAACTTTGTTAAGAGAGGTTTAGAGTCGAATTTGAATTGGAAAGTTGTATAATATAAGAGTATGTAATAAATTTTAATAACTTTTAAATGTACTTTTTTTTTGCCTAACATTGTTAAATGCACTCTAAGGTGATCAATGTGACCCTCAGACAGGTCCCAACATTTTCATAATAAAATAATACATAAACAACTTAAAAAAATCGAGATAGTTTTTAAAAATGGAGTTTGAATTTGTGAGACGACGCAATTTTTGAAAATCAAGGCTTTATTTAAAATTATTATTCTTAACTCTATTGTACGCTGCTTTCTATGGACATCAGGATGTCATAATTTTAAAACTACTGTGACTAAAAATGATGCAAAGACTAAGAGAAGATTTGTAAATTTATGGTGTGCGTAAAGCTTATCTCAGTTGCGATTACGTAAATATGAATGATATATATATATATAAATATAGGTAGAGAAAATTATCGGATGTTTAGCGTATTCACATGCAATGAGCCTGATCAGCTGAGAGTTTCGAAAACCTAATAGTCGATTAATTTATTTAGTTTGGGTGCAATGAATTTTAAATATAGTAATTGAGTGAAATGAAAATTTGTAAAGAAATGTATAGTAGATGCATTGTCCATTATCTTGATCGTGTATGTACGCCAGCCGTAAATGTGAACGAAATGGTACAATTATAATAAATGAATTAAATTATATTGGTATTTTGTTCTCGAGCCGTGTACGTGACAATAATGATGCAATCATACTATCAATATACAATCTACTTCGTAATTAGAGGATTGATACTTTCTCTGTCTACGATTGATACTAAGGCTGGCTTTTCACTATGGGATATAATATATATTATATCCCGAAATATAAATTATATCCCGCGATTGGCTTTCACACTGTGAGATATATCTTTTAACTAATGTGCGTTCGTCATTGGTCATTGGATTATCCCCCTTTACCCCGTACACCGTTCTGCGGGGGAGCGGAACGGTGTGAGGGGTACAGGGGGCGAAATATAATATGAAAATATCGCTCGGTCGATCGAAAAAATATTTATAGCTTGAGATGTAATATATATTATAGCTCAGTGTAAACGGTTCCATATGAAATGTATGGTGAGAGATATTAATTTATATCTCGAGATGTAATATATATTATATCCCATAGTGAAAAGGGGGCTTAAGTCTATGCGGTCTATGCTCTCTTATTATTCATTTTTTTATAACTGGGTTTACGGCTCTGGGTTGTAGCTGTTCTGAGCCTGAAGTTACAATGTATAAATTATCCTTCATAGTACACTGCTTTACAATATGTTGATGCGTCACATTGTGTAGCCCCTGGGAGATTTTGACGGCAACTTGAGCCAGCAGACAGCTGACAGTTGGCGATGGTATCTCAAGTCGCCTAAGCAAACAGACACCTTATTTTGAGAATCACATCACTATCAGAGTACTTGTTTCACCATTTCCACCAAGATTTCCACTAATAGTTCACATTCGCAGACACTTAATACACAAAATCTCACCACTTTTACACATCAAAATCCACTTTAAACCATTATTTAAACAATAATGCAAAAGCACCAAGCCGCCGCCGGTCAAGTTCCCGCTAGGAGTGGGCGATACAAATCGTATATAGATACAATATCTATATATCAGTACAATATCCAACATCTATATATCCGACGACAAACGAACTATGTATTAGATATTACGATTTTACGATACGGTGTTGAAATGAGTCATCGCAGAATATCTAATATCTACTCAAAACCGAAACGTAAAATATCTAAATATAACCTACACTGATTCGGATACCGAACAAACCTTGAGCGCGATAGAATATATAGCTAAAACAGATATTACGACTACTTTACTACGAAAAGGTGATACGCTTACGCTTAATAGTTTTAATATTAATCCTTATTAGTAGTACAATACGATTTATTACAGAACACATAATTTTCAAGATCCAGTCTAAGTAGTATAATTTTATTATTACTTTGTTGTGTTGCACTGTTTTCAAAATAAAGTATTTTAGATCTTATTGTGTATTTTATAGAATGTTATTTTTGGTATGTAAATTAAAACTGAGAAAATTATGAAGGAAAGTTTATTTCACCGATTCTGAAAAACTATACCCGCTTTCTAGATATGGGATAATTCCCTTTGGCGTAGGGGTATAATATAACCACTAATCATAACCACAATTGTGGCATAAAATATAAAGGTGTAATTTTATAGCAAATAAATGTTGCAATCCTTATTTTTAAACATGGAGAGCCTAAAGTTAAGTGTAATAAATTAAAATAATATTAAATATTTTTAAAATATTATTCTTTAGAGGAAACGAGTAAAAATACTTTGTAAAAGAACCACCTTCTAGATTCTATACGTAAAGTGATTTCATCCAACAAAAATTGATTAACGCTCAAGGTGGTACGTACATTATACGCTAGATGGCATAACCACGACACGATTAAATTTAATATTCTATTTCATTATCTCGCAGGATAAATCCTACTTTTTATATTATGAGATACATTAAGAATACTTATATTACATAAATAATTCTATATATCTATAAATCAATATATGGAAATTTGTTCATAAATCGCGTATCACAAATGTGATACTGAGTACTGACTTCTTTTCAGAACGAAGATATTAACAAATATTATATAGATATTGAAATATATAGATACAAAATCGGATTTTCATATCCAATACATAGGTACGATTTGATATAGGGTAAAAGTGATATTACCCATGCCTAGTTCCCGCTAAAACTTATTATTATTCGTTTGTGATTAGCAACCAAAGAGTAACAAACTAACGGACTAATAAAAATCATAAACTAAATGAGTTTATCGACAACGTTTTTTGTTTCGCTAATGGCACATCAATAGAGGCGTCTATGGAATGAAAAAACCGCAACAACCGTCTAAAAGAACGTACATAGGTGAGAATAATCATAGACATAGAATATACTGGCGTATAGACGACCGGACAGCTCGAAAACGCGTGACAAATTTTGATATGTTATTGTGTGCTTTAGCTAGTAATGTACATTCTACTTACAAGGACTATCAAAAAATGATTGTTAAGGAAGCGGTATTAATATTAATAAAATACGTTAGTGCACGAAACTGAATAACATCAAAAATTAACTGAATTTTTAACATAATATTCTAAAATACATAATTAAAATATATTCATATATCATGTTCCCGAGAATAAGCAGCACCTACATGCGTTTTGTTGGATTTTAATTCAAAATGTACAAAATCCCAATAACATCTAAAGGGGTGAGTCTACCGAATAAACTCAAACAATTTCCAAGAATCAGATCGGAAAATTGTATTTTCGAGCTATGACCTTTAGAAAAAAACATTTACTGCCATGGATAGTTTTCCCAGAATCTCTTTTTTAACATAATGTTAATAAAATAGAAATAGGTAGTTACTTAATTAAGTATATATCTGTTTATATTTCATATATTTTTTTTTTTTGGTGGTGAAATAAAAATGGGGACATGGAGTACATAATAATAGCTGCTTTATTTTACACTAGCTGTGCCCCGCTGTCACCCGCGTCATCACGTGTCCGAGGTGCGCGATATGACCTAGTTCAAGCATTTTATAACGGCTAGGGTTTAAGCGTCGTTCGCGCGCCCAGCTAATTATTGAATTATTTTAATTTTACATTATCTCTTAAACTATGCGTCCAAATAACATGGTATAAAGAACAAAGTTTATCTTCATAAAATTGTCTTGATGATGAAGTTACTTTCGTTCGTAAGGATAAATAGGCCATGCCTAATAATAACGCTCATAAATCACTTTTAGATTTTCAATAATTTTTTGTCACAAAATACCAAATTATGTCTTATGTATAAGAAATAGACATATGGTATCGCGGACTTTTTTTTAGACGGAGTAAAGGTCTATATTTTTCTAGAACATTGTATTTACGTATCCCTAACGATAACACCAGTGTACGCGGATAAATCATTTCGGGAGTGCTTTTTCTTCTGACTTGCTTAACAAATATCATTATTTAAGGTTAGTTGAGTAATATAGCTTAATGCTAGATAGCCTATACTATTCCACATGAATCTGGCTATAATATACAAAATGAATTTTTCAAATCGGACTGGTAGTTCCACAGATTGGCGCGTTTAAAAAAACAAAAAAACTCTTCCGCTTTATTATATTATATTAGTATAGATAGTATAAATATTACTTACAAACATTTAATAATTAAATACATTATAGAAGTTTATTTTAACATACGACTTAAATATGAATATAAACTTAATAATTTAAGTAAGGGTACTTGTAGGAATCAGTTAAATAAGATTGTTCTGTATAATGGCCAATAAGTAACTGTAATTAAAGTAATGATATGTTTTGACCTTGATATGTTTTCCTGGTAAAATAAAAAGAACGGAGACATGGAGGACATAATACATTTTTTTTCTTGGTTTTAGTATATCACTTCTTTCTTGATCTTGTGATTTAAAAGGTGGAGGGGTTATGTCACGATTAACGTACGATGAGGCTACTCTCTCTTTCATGTGTCCCTAAAAAATATAAACTATAAAGTAATAATATACTTACTATCATTTTAGCGGCATGAGTTTTAAAAAACATAATGATCTTAAAGCGTCTCCCACACAGAAGCGGCTTGCGGTGGCGGCCGCGGTGGTGGCCAGTTGTAATCGCTTGCAATGTAAGTGAGTCTACAAACCCGTGCGGCCATGTCGCGTCCTACCAGCATTTTGCCGCGGCCGCATGCCCCGCCCCCTCCGCCACTGTGCTGTGCTGCCTCTATCAGTGGCCAGTGGCCGCAGCGCGGTCTAAATACAGAGATTTTAATAGGAACAGTGCAAAATTATCCAAAATAGAATAGAACAATTTTTATTCAATATACATTACATGTGTAATTCTTATTGAAAGTC